AGGTACGCCCATGAGTATATGGTTGATTCCTCTAATGCATCTTTAACAGATTTCAAACCACATCTTCCTTGCTCAGTTAGTAGATAAAGTCTGGACACACAACTCGCTTTGTATCGAACTTTAAGTTCCACTAAAATCTTGCGAAACTTTTTATCTATATATTCTCCTTTTTCTAAGACACTTATATATTTACCATTGCCTTTGATTATGTTGCTCATAACATAACTGAATGCAGATATTACAGTGGAGTTATGGAAGCTCACTTTTGACGAAAAGTAAGATCGGAATTCCATAAATGTTTTACTATCTTACAGCACTTGTCTTCAACACAATCTCACGCTTCAGACTCCTTTAAACCTAGCCTCTGTTCCATTCCCAAGTATTTGTAGATCGCTTTCTCATTTAACATCTGGAAACATCTACTTCTGTCATTTGTTGAGGCAGTCTCGACTTCTACTTGTTCTTTTCGCAGACGTTTTGAAATAAAGTGTGCTATAGCACATTTCTTTATGAGCCATTTCGCTTAAGCCACGACCTGTCGTGGTCAATAAATTTTTTGCGAACTTTGATTTGAATTACATATATTAAAAATTCATGAATTACTGAGTTTTTTGCCACCAACCGCAGCTCTGTAGCTCAAACCATTGCTGAGATATTCAATTTTTAATGTAGTTTGTCATATATGGAAAGAGTGACATAGGATTCTGTACGCTTTGATATTCACTATGCCATTTCTGAACAACTCAACGCAGAGCTCTGATAATTTCAGAAATTGTACACATTTGATTACACTACAAAATGACACAAACCACAGTTCGGTGATCTGTTGTATTAGAAAGATACAGATGTCGCTAGTAGTGTTTATTGATCATAAATTCTCTCATGCGTAACCAGCTCAATCGGACTCTAGCTTCCAGTATAGACACTAGATATGTGAAACTACAAATTGATGAAGAAAAAAACTTTGGATATTGAAGAGGAACCAGAGATATTGAATTTTTTCCGTCATTGTCTGCAAGTTGTGTATTTTGACATACAGCAATGTTTTTATTTTTTTTTTAATTCAACAAAAAGAAACCAATTTGGGCTATTATTTTGAAATATGAACGAATTATAAACCTGTCTTTTCTAAATATTCTTCGTATCTCTAATAAATATGTTTTGGATAACTACAATCATATTGAATTGGTACATTGTGCTATCCTTGTAAATATGCTTTTTTCCTCAAAATAATCAATGTTTTGGGAATATTCTCGTGGTAAATATAGTAATTAGCGGTTTCATTTAATTTTTTCTTCACTGTTATAGTCGAGTCAAACATTGAAACGTGAAGTGTTCAATTATTTTTTTTTTCTCTCTCTCTCACTTTTTTCTCTGCGGCATGTTTGTATGTAAATAGTTCTGTTTACACATGCCGAGCTAACGGCTTACAGCTTCTCTTGTCGCTATTGTTTATTCGTATTTGAACTTAAATTGTTATCTAGAGTTTGTCATTACGTTAAAAGAAGAACACTAAAAAACTTCCAGATGTGTGATTCCGAAATGGAAATTGAATATAACGGTTATGAGGCGTGTTGTCTTTTCGACACATTTCATAATTGTGGTCCAACAAGTCAGACACAACGTAAGCATTGAAAGAAGTTTTTTTTTATATGGGAGCTATTTTCTTTGGGCTACAAATTGTTTGCTAAGTAAAACTATTAAAATGCTAAGTTGGTCTTTGCTAAGTAAAATTTCTATGTGCTCAGTAAAAAAATTGAATGCTAAGTAACAATATTGAACGCTCAGTTAATTAAAAGTTTCTCAGTAAAAAAAATATTTACTAAGTTTGATAGACAATTGCTAAGTAGAAAATATTTTGTTAAGTTAATAAATTGAAATTTTACTAAAAAAATAGAATCGCGAAGTAAAAATTATTATTACTGAGTAATTTTCAGTAAATGTAAAGTACGATTATCGGAGATAAGAAAAATTTTTTATAGTACTATAATGTATATATTGTTTTCTCTTGCTTTTCTTCTATCATCGTTTGACTGATGTCGTGCTATATATATATATGCCAACATTCAATTTCGAATTCACTCCAATCTCGGATGTTCACATTGAGTTAGTCCATTGTTGGAGTGAGAAAATTTTTTTATTAAAACCTTCATCACTCTCAAGATATATGTTGGATTGAAATTCTCGTAGATGAACTGTGATGGAGCAATGGTACTTCATATATTAAAATCATCAATGCAGAACCTACGTTCGAATTTGAACTCTAATAGATAGTTTTCCTAAAAAACTGTTCTTCTGTAGAGATTTACGTAGAGGTTCACGAATGTTACTTAAATTTGTATATCGACTATTGTATTTTCTAGAGTATCATTGCCACAAGGCCATTTATCAACAAGAATTTTCGATTTAACATTTCTCTTGAGAGTAGTCGAGGTTTAATTAAAATAAACTCCTCAATCCGACGTTGAACCAGCCCAAAGTGAGCACCTGAGATTGACCTAGGCGGATCTAATATTGAAGTGAATCCAACGCTGGATGCTGACACACATATATATCACTTATAGATTTCTTCGTTCTGATGTAGGTGCCTGTTTTCTTAGAAAATTCTCTAGTACAATCCTATTTGTTTTTCTCTTGCTATGTCTTTTACATAATATTTGTATTGCTTTCTCGAGACATCTCTTCTGTCTGACACTTTTCGGTACGCTCTTTCCCTCGCTTTCTTATATACCTCTGCTGATCTGTCATTGAAAGTTTACATTGAATTAAAAAACTAAACTATAGCAACGCGTCGGAATGAAAAAAAAACGACTTTGCGATTGTCCGAGCTTCTTCATAGCATATATTTGTAAAAATATTTTAGTCATAGCTATTAGGTTGACGTTTTGTAAAACATCTCTATCAGTAAAGGATATACCCTTCGATAAAAAAAGAAAACAAGAACGACCACGAAAAACAACAAAAGCTCTATTTATACAATAACTGTACAATTAACTTTTTCACTTAGATATTCATATCACTTTATTTAACAAAAATTATATATTTACTTTGCGACTTACAATATTTTACTAAGAAAATCAAACTGTTTCACTTAGAATTTAAATAAAAAATTTAACAAAAATACTTTTTTTACTTGGAATTTTTTTCAATAAACTACCGAGCAAAAATTTAATTTTTTATTTAGATTTTATTTAAAATTACTTAGCACTTAAATAGTAGCCTTTTTTTGTTTTTCTTTCATTTAATAGAACGTAAAAATCTTGGTTGGTCCGAAAGTTTAGTTGATTTTGGTACATTAAGTCGTATTGATGTTACACCGTATCTGATATCACTTGGTATGATACAGAAATCAGAAGATCGGATGATTATGTCTGAAAAACAATTAATCATGAATCGTATTGCACCTTATACATCAGCTAACAGAGACTCATCTGTCATCTGTCTACTGCATCGGTACACCTATGGAATCCATTGGAAAGAGAACAAAGAACGTGGTCATCCTGACCATCCACCGAATCGTCGTGTACCTAAGTAAATTGACTTCGCTAATGCTGTGATTTTTTTACTTAATTTTTTGTAGATCTGATGGCCGTCGAGTAAAGCTGGAAGTTGCTAAAAAAATTTTTGGATTTATATATGGCAGTCGACTATGTCCTAAACACAGGAAAAATTTTGAAAAATCTGATTTTTATGATAAAAATATGCCGATTATCGATGAAGATGATGAATTTACAATATCAAATCTTTCTAATTTTTATGACAATACAATACCAATTGTTTATGATGATGATAAATCTACAGTATCACATATAATTGATGAAGAAAACACATATAGTGACGAGAAAAAACGTTCTCAACTTAATGCTATATTTAATGGAACGTCGGTTAGTCCATTGAAATCATCTGCTGCAAAACCTTTAGAGGAACAATCAGATTATAGTATCCGTCGACTAGTTTCCAAATACAAACGTGGTCTTGAGTCATTAAAAGAAGAACTTGCTGAAGCTATTGCACCTAAACAAGGATACAAATTGATTCGTTTGTCAGAAGAATCCAACAAAAAAATTGATACTAATTATGACAACGAAACAACATCTGATATAGTTCAACAATTAAGACTGATGTACCATACTTATGTTACTCATAAGGTTCCATTTCGAGAACAAGTACAATTAGTAAGTGAAAATTTAGAACCATATTTATAAAAAAAAATATTGATATTTTCAGTTATCACTTTTGCCTAGTTCATGGCAAACTGAAAAAATTATGTTCGAATTCAACTGTTCAAGCTATGCAGTTAAATTAGCAAAGAAAATTTGAAAGAAAACTGATTATCAGGTCGAATTTGAAACAGATGGTGTTCAAACTCGTCAACGTAGAGATTCATCAGTTATCAAACACTTCATATCATGGCTGGTGGAAAGTGGTT